TATTAAAAATTAAATTTCAGAATATATTTGACATCAATCACTTTAAATAAATCAGTCGACAGTGATATTTTTTATGATTCCATGACGACGTGAAATTATCGGGGGTAATTGCACAAGTACTTCAAAATTACCGATAATTTTGCATGAAAGGTTGTTGTCTAAAAACTGCATGAGTTTATTTTCATATTGTGGCGAAAAAGCGAAAGTTTATTTTCATATTGTGGCTCCTCCTTCGGAGTCGGGCTTTTTCGTTCCAATGTGAAAATAAACGAATGCAGTTTTTACAAGACAACAAGCTCGAATGCAAAATTATCTGTTTATTTTGATGCACGAGTGTAATTTTGATGAATATATGCTGAGTAAAGAAAGTAAATGTGGATTCATTTTATTTCTATTATATTTTATTACCCTTTAAATTTTATTACTTATGTTTATTAAATTTAATTTGAATATCTTAGGTATGTCAGGAAGACACTTGATGTCTAATTCAACATGAAAAGACACCTGTCAAATATTTTTTGAAACAATGCAGTTATCGTTGAGTGATAATTGCACACTGTGCAATTACCGCTGTAATTTTTCGATAATTGCACACTTCAAACGGACAGATCACACGAGGGAAACATTCGGGGGTAATTGCACAAGTGCTTCAAAATTACCGATAATTTTGCATTCGAGCTTCAAAATTGGCGTCATTCCTCTGGAGGTGTTGTCTGGTGCTGTTATAGGAGTACTGAGAAATTTCCTATAACGATACTAGAAAAAATAGAGAAAAACTATATCAGAAATACGGCAGCAAGGTTTTTTAAGAATCTGCCTAATTAACATTGCGCAAATACCTGTTGCTTCGTAATTATTAAAAACTCGGGTAACCATGGAATTATACAGAGTGACAATATGATAGACAAGGATAAACGGTAAATTCAACAAGATTCGTTGACTGCGCAACGTACTTTCGAAATGTCAACCTGTTCTCATAACCTCGAATCCTGCGGGGTTTGGTGTTTACAGAAATAATCCATACAACACCAAACATTTGAATGGTTAACTGCAAACAAGCTAGTGCCTGTGTAATCTCCTTATTATCCACTCTTATCAAGCAGCTT